CTTACTGGACCAACTGCGTGGTGCAACAGTCTTCTCGAAGCTGGACCTACGGTCGGGTTACTAGCAGATCAAGATGGCGGACAATTCGATCCACAAGACGGCGTTCCGTACTCGATACGGCTCTTACGAATACTTGGTGATGCCGTTCGGACTCTGCAACGCACCAGCAACGTTTCAGGCGGAAATGAACCATATTCTCCGGCCCCTGCTGGACGAGTGCGTAGTGGTGTACCTGGACGATATCCTCATCTACTCCAAGAACATGAAGGAGCACGTGGAGCATCTACGGAAGGTGTTCGAGATCCTGCGGAAGAATAAGTTCCACGTGAAACTATCGAAGAGCGACTTCGCACTAAAGAAGGTGCAGTTTCTTGGGCACATGGTGAGTGCCGAGGGCGTACACGTGGACCCGCGGAAGATCGACGCCGTTAAAAAATGGAAAATACCGGAGAACGTGAAGGAGTTGCAGCAATTCCTAGGCTTCGCCAACTACTACAACAGGTTCGTGCCGCAGTATGCTAAGATAGCAGCGCCACTGGACCGACCTACTGAAAAAGGATACGCCCTTCAAATGGGATACTCCTCATCAGCAAGCCATGGAACTGCTACAGACAGCACTGACTACAGCGCCAGTACTCATCTTGCCGGATCCAGACAAGGACTACGTGGTGGAAGCAGACGCTAGTGACCAAGCAGTCGGAGCAGTACTGATGCAGGATCACGGACGCGGTTTGCAGCCCATCGCCTACCTCAGTAAGAAGCTACACGGAGCAGAACTAAACTACCCCATTCACGACAAGGAAGCCCTAGCGATAGTCGTAGCCTTCAAAGCGTGGAGGTGTTACCTAGAGGGAGCCAGGACCACAGTCTATACTGACCACTGCAGCCTCAAATACCTGAAGTCACAGCCAACGCTCTCACGACGACAGGTGCGGTGGATGGATTTCTTGGAGACCCACTTCCACTACGACATCATCTACAAACCCGGGCTACACAACAAAGCAGACGCGCTGAGCCGCCCAGGTCATGTAGCAGGCATCCAGCTCGACGGGATGAACCCTCTACTCAAGGGTCTATTCCAAGATGGGTACTCCGTGGACGGCGAGTTAGCAACGGCAGAGAAACAGAAGCTGTTACAGTAGGAGAAAGACCTAGCGGTAATGAAGGGTTCAGGAAAGATTTGGGTACCGAATTACGCCCCGCTACGGCAGATCCTATTGGAGGAATTTCACGACGTACCATACGCGGGACATTTCGGGAGCAACAAGGCGTTAGCGGGAATAGCAAAGTATTACTACTGGCCTCGGATGGCAGCAGACGTGCAGCAGTTCGTCACCTCCTGCGACACGTGCCAGCGGATGAAGAGCAGCAAGCAGAAAAAAGCAGGATTACTTCAGCCTCTAGCCGTACTGGAGCAGCCATGGCAGGTCGTTAGTCTCGACTTCATCACAGGACTTCTCTCGACCTCACGGGGACATGATTCCATCCTCGTAGTCATCGATAAGTTCTCCAAAATGGGACACTTCATACCGGCCAACGCCACCGCCACAGCTGAAGCAACTGCTCGCCTCTTCTTTGACCGCATAATCACCATCCACGGCATCCCCGCTACACTCATCTCAGACAGAGACCCCAAATTCACGAGTAAGTTCTGGAAGGAACTCATGGGATTATTAGGGACCAAACTTGCGATGTCCTCAGCATACCACCCACAGACTGACGGACAGACATATCGACTCAATCAAGTGGTTGAACAGTTACTGCGCACAGCTTGCAAGGACGACGCCAGCCACTGGGACACACAGTTACCGACCCTAGAGTTCGCGTACAACAACGCCTCACATGCGGCCACAGGGAAAACTCCTTTCTTCCTGTGTTACGGACGGGAACCACTCACACCACAGCAGCCAACCACACCGTCACACGTCCAAGCCGCACATGACTTCGTCACCACCATGCAGCAGCTATGGGAGAAGACTCAGCGACGTCTCACCACGATGCAGAACTCCCAGAAGCAATATGCCGATCGTCAGCGACGAGATCACTCAGTAGCAGTCGGAGATCAGGTGCTTCTTGACACACGCAACTTGAACCTGTCTCACCTCCCATCCCAACTCCGACCTCGCTTCTGTGGTCCGTTTCTCGTGGAGGCACATGTGACACCAGTTACATTCCGCTTGCGCTTACCAGATACATGGAAGCTTCACAACGCTTTCCATGTCCAGCTACTGAAGCCCTACAAGGACCCCAACCAACAGTTCCAGGGACGGCAACTCCCGCCACCACCACCTGTTCTCATACAGGATGAACCCGAGTACGAAGTGGAGCGTGTTCTCACTCATCGGCGCCGTGGCGGGAAGACCCTCGAGTTCCTGATACGCTGGAAGGGATACGACCCCACTGAGGACAGTTGGGTTGCAGAAGCTGATATGGGCAACGCACGCCGTGTCAGAATATCATGTTTCTCTAGTCTGCAGTGGGGTACTCAATAGTGAGTACAACCCTGTTAGGGTTTCCTATATGTACTCAATTGCTTTCTAGTGCAACCCTCATTCCTCATTTCTTCACATGGTATAGAGCATTATCGATCCTTCCTAAGGGCTCACCACGTTTACACTATTTTTTTTTTTCTTCCTACCCGAGGCGCGCGTCGCGCCTGCCCTTAACGACCCTTCGCGGCCCGTTAGGCCCCTTCGCGGCCCGTTAGGCCCCCTTCGCGGCCCGTTAGGTCCGTCGCGGCCCCTTTCGCAGCCCGTTAGGCCCCCGTCGCGGCCCCTTCGCGGCCAGTTAGGCCCCTTTGCGGCCCCTTTGCGGCCCCCCTTTACAACCTGTAGCGGCCCCTTCGCGGCCCATTAGGCCCGTCGCGGCCCCTTCGCGGCCTGTCCCGGACCTGCCCCGACCCCGGCCCTGCCCCGACCCTGTCGCGGCCCCTCTTCGCGGCCCACCGTCGCGGCCCCCTGTCGCAGGCCCCCGTCGCGGCCCCCCGTATCGGCCCCTTCGCCCGGCCCCGCCCTCCTCATGCCTGTCGTGGCGCACCAGGGGCCCGTGCACCCCCCCCCCCCCCCCCCCCCCCCTTTTCCCGTCGCCTTGCGTGGCGGGCGGGGGGGGGGGGGGGGGCGCGCGCGTCGCCTTGAGGGGCGACCTGGGGGGGCGCGCGTCGCCCCTTCTTCCGCCTGCTCTGGCGCCCTGGGAGGCCGCGCGTCGGCCCCCGTACTCCTCCCCCCCCCCCCCCCCCCCCCCCCCCCCCTCCCCCCCCCCTCAGGTTGCCTCAACAGGCAACGGGAGGGCGACCTGGGGGGGCCGCGCGTCGGAGCAGCCGCCCCTGGTGCAGCCGCCCCTGGAGCAGCCGCCCCTGGACCCAGAGCAGCCGCCCATGGACCCAGAGCAGCCGCCCCTGGCCTCTGGAGCAGCCGCCCCGGGCCGCGCGTCAGAGCAGTCGCCCCTGGTGCAGCCGCCCCTGGAGCAGCCGCCCCTGGACCCAGAGCAGCCACCCCTGGCCCCTGGAGTAGCCGCCCCTGGCCCCTGGAGCAGCCGCCCCTGGTGCAGCCGCCCCTGGACCTCTGCAGCCGCCCCTGGATCTCAGCAGCCGCCCCTGGTGCAGCCGCCCCTGGACCTCTGCAGCCGCCCCTGGATCTCAGCAGCCGCCCCTGGCCCCTGGAGCAGCCGGCCCTGGACCCCGCGCCGTCGCCCCTGGACCCGGTGCCGCCGCCTCCCTGTACTGCCCGTTGCTGCTCTCCCCCCCCCCCCCCCCCCCCCCCTTCTTCGTCTCCCTGCTGCGCGTGCAGCCGTGGAAAGGAGGGTATGGGGGTGGCGGGTATGGGGGTGATGGGTGGTATGTTTCCCTTCCCCTCCTCCTCTTTTGTCTCCCACTGCTGCAGCTGCCGCTGAGGGGGGTGGATGTGTGGAAGCCAAAGGCGTGGTGCTAGGGGGTGGGGTTTGAGTGAACCTAGCGGTGCAGCAGGGGGTGTGTGAATGGGGGGTGCGACAGTTTGGGGTGGTTGAGCGGAGGCTGCTGTCTTGTCGTCCGCAGCACCTGTAGTCCGGGGCGCTGTCCTGGTAGCCCAGTCGTAGCCAGCTGCGCCAGTCGCCCGTGGGTCCGTTGCTCCTGCCGCTCGTCTAAGCCGCGGAGCCAGTTACTCCTGTAGTCTTGGGCGCTGTTCCGGTAGCCACTGTGCCAGTGTGACTCCTGTTGCCCGTGTGTCTGCAGCTTCAGTCGTCGCCTCCTATCTCCTCTCCTCTTACAGTCCCGCCTCCTCCTCCTCACTTGCTCTCTGTGATAGCCTCTAGCTTTACTTAGTTATTGTGAACTTTAAACTGTTACTTCTTGTACTTGTGCTCAGAATGTGTGGTGACATTGTGATCCACCCTGAGCTTGCTTTGCTTTGCTTCTTGTGCTGATCATACCCCACTTTGACTATGGGGGTGTGTCAGAATATCATGTTTCTCTAGTCTGCAGTGGGGTACTCAATAGTGAGTACAACCCTGTTAGGGTTTCCTATATGTGCTTTCTAGTGCAACCCTCATTCCTCATTTCTTCACACGCCGTGCTCTCAAGGACTATCTTGTCAAGCAGGGTGTATCTCACGCCACCCAGCTTTGAGGGGGGGACGTGTGAGAGTACGACGGCTTATGCCAGCTATGCTTGCTTGCCTTTACTTTATTATACTATTTCTAGCATATGATAATTATATGCATGCATGAATCGCTTGCTTTCCTAGGCTAGGTGCTTTCCTATATTTTATTATAGTTATAGCACCGAGCTAGGTTGCGTGCACAGAATTCTGGCTATTCGGTTGCCACCGAATTGCCTTCTACCGAATTCGGTAAGGATCTGTTCGGGACGCTTCGCGACCCGCGGAACCTTCGCGTAACACCCGGTTACGGGGCCTTGTGTCGAGCCTATATATAGCCTCGTGTTGTATCCAGGTGATTCATTCAATTCAAATTCTCTTTTCTGAGCTCGATCCTAGATCCTCACAAGTGCCCTCCGAAGGGAGACCATGTATCGCCCTGCACCACGAGCAGACCCGCCTGCCAACTCTGCTAGCGGTCGCACCAACCCTTCTCGCTCTGGTGGTGCAGTGGGTGACCCTGGTCCTTCTACGCAGCGCGCTGCTGAGCCGAGCACGCAGGCTTTTAGCTCTCTTCCAATCACCCTGCCGCCATTCATCCATGGCAAAACAGACGTGGCTGCGTGGTTGTCGATGATGACCGACCTGTTCAAGGCGCACAAGGTCCAAGGCGACGCTCCCGTCGTCGCTGCCACCACCGTGCTGGACCAGAACGCACAGCGAGTGGTATATGGCAGCAAGATCCAGGCTGAGGCGGATAGGAAGCCGTTTGGGTGGAAGGAATTCGCATCTGCACTCAAGCAAGCTTTCCAGGTCCAGCCGACTCAGCTGGAGGTGCGCAGCCGCCTTGAGAAGCTGCAGTGCGGGAACCGCACAGTGCAGCAGTACGCCGTGGAGTTCAAGGAGATCTGGGTGCTCTAGAAACCGGCGGAACGTATGAGCGAAGGCGAAAAGATCCATCTGTTCTTCAGGGGGCTGCCTGAGCACCTCAAGAACATGCATATGACGGATGGGGCTGGGGAGGCATGGAGGTCCTATGATCACGTGAAGCGCGTGGTGGGGACCACTGATAAGCACTTCCGCCCTTATGCCAAAACCACTACCCAGCCGCAGCAGGCCTCAAGGCCGTCTTCTAGCACTGCGGGTCCTAGCGGAAGGCAGCAGGGAACGCCTTGGAAGTGCGGGAACCACAAGAGGCCCTTCCAGCAGGGGCAGCAGGCTGACCACAAGGCCAAGAAGGTCAACGAGGGTGGACCAAGCAATGTCCAGAGCTGCATCAAGTGCGGCAAGCCTAGACACAAGGGCTATGAGTGCCGCCACCGCAAGGCGGTGAAGTACTCTGGCAAGTCCAAGACGGACAACAAGCGCCATGATGGCAGTGGTCCCTCGGGCAGCCAGCGGGATTTTGCAAAGCCCAACTAGGGGGTGGGTGCCTTGCGGGCATAGTAGATCGAGAGGATGAGGCAGTGGTCCTGCGGGATGAGGAGTTATTGAAACTCGAGTGCCTTGTTGATTGCAAAATTGCATGTGTCTATGCATTTTCTTTTAATGAAAGCTCTTTGTTTGCCTCTCGATTTCACCCACTCGAAAATGTCACAGTTGAATCATTACGAGATAAATTCTCACTTATATTTTGTGATCACCATAATTTGCCTTGGATAATGGAGATGGTGGGTCGTTGCACCCAAGCGCACCCTCTAACTGCGGTAGGAATGGTAATGCGCACAGTTCGAGGTAATTTGTTTCGAGCACTTCAAGGATGGAGCGTGTTAGCGCAGTGGGATAAGGGACACCATGTGTGGTGGACACAAGCTCGTTCTTTTGGACGCAGCAAGCACGGCATTAAGGCATATTATTTGCCTCCCACTGATATTACAGCATGTCCTATTCGACCCAAACATCAGCAGAACCTTTTGTTTTCGGGTCGCGTAAATGGGCGCAGTGCCTCGATCCTGGTTGATACAGGAGCGACTGCGTCATTGATCGATGAGAAATGGATGGGGTATTTGAATGTGCCTGTTCAAGGACCATCTTGCTCTATCCGTCTGGGAGATGACAGGGTCATCCCATGCAGAGGAATTGCCTTGGTCAACCTAGATATCCAAGGATATCAGGAGACCATCAGCGTTTTTGTCTTACCCCTCCTAGCAGGCGTAGACATTGTCTTGGGAATGGATTGGCTGCGGCCTAATGAGGTGATATTAAATTTCCAAGATAACACGCTTTCATTCACAAAGAATGGGACGGCGTTTCAATGGCAAGTCCCAAAGCGCCATGCACTGGACGACAAACCTCAAAGCCTGGCTCTTGATGTGCGCTTTACGTCGACTCTCCAATTCAAAGAGCATGTCAAGGGAGCTGATACACTTTTTGTTGTACAGCTGGACTCTGAACCAGCCCCTTCACAGATTATTGAGGACTTTCCACCTCAAATGAAGGCGTTGGCAGAGGAATATTCCGAGGTTTTCGAACCAATTCCGGACGGGTTACCTCCCGACCGTGCAGTTGGCCACACCATCCCGGTGGAACCAGGAAAGGCACCACCATTTAGACCTCTGTATCGCCTCAGTCCAGCTGAGTACGAGGAGGCTAAACAACAGATTGAGGAATACCTCAGGAAGGGATGGATAGAACCTAGCGCATCCCCATATGGAGCACCTATCTTGTTTGTTCACAAGAAGGGAGATGGACTGCGCATGTGCGTCGATTATCGAGCCCTGAATAAAATTACGATAACAAACAGATATCCACTTCTGCGCATAGAAGATTTATTTGATCGACTACAGGGTGCGCAATGGTTCAGTGCACTGGATTTGGCGCAAGGCTTGTCAGAATGTAATTGTATGCATTACTATAACTGCCTGTAGTGTAGACCTAGTGTAGTTATATCGCTTTCATGTTAGGTGGTGCACCCTTTTCCTTCACTATATCTTGTACAACATTCCATAGTGAAACCCCCATTTTTCTCTCGACTTTCTCCTCTCTAACTTGCTCGATACTCAACTCACTCGATCTACTAGCTATGGCTCCTAAGCCTTCCTAGTAGCTTTTCACAAGGCTATCACCAATTGCGTATAACAGAGGACGATGTTCCAAAGATGGCTTTCCGTTCGCCGTTCGGCCATTTTCAGTGGCGTGTGTTAAGTTTTGGCTTGACCAACGCTCCGGCCTCTTTCCAGAGGGCGATGAACAATGTTTTTCGTGATGCGATTGGCCAGTTCGTCTCGGTGTACCTCGATGATATCCTGGTATACTCAAAAACCAAAGATGAGCATACGGAACACCTGAAATGGGTCCTCGAAAAATTACGCGAGCACAAATACTACGCACGTTTGTGGAAATGCCATTTTTACAAACGTGAGCTGGAGTATTTGGGGCACGTAGTGGGGCACAACGGTCTGAAAGTGGACCCCAAGAAGGTAGCAGTTGTCCAGGAGTGGCCCGACCCACGCGACGTTGGCCAAGTTCGATCATTCATGGGCCTGGCGAATTATTTTCGTCGCTTCTTGGAAAATTATTCCACGATAGTCGCTCCCCTCACGGCATTGACCCGGAAAGAGTGCACATGGGAGTGGACTCCACAGTGCCAAAAGGCCTTCGAAGAGGTCAAGCATAAATTAACCAACGCACCAGTTTTGGTGTTGCCAAACCCACAGAAACCATATGAGGTGGTTACGGACGCCTCGACGGTGGGACTTGGATGCAGTACTTCTGCAAGAAGGACGCCCTGTGGCATTTGAGAGTAGAAAACTCTCCCCGGCAGAGCAACGCTACACGACAACCGAACAAGAGTTGTTGGCTGTCGTGCATGTGCTAAGAACATGGCGATGTTACTTGGAAGGGGTAGAGTTCGTGGTCACCACTGACCATTGTCCGAACACATATTTTTGTACCCAAGCTACCCTCACTCGCCGTCAGGCCCGTTGGGCTGAACTCCTTAGTGGGTTCAGTTTCGACATTCGTTATCGTGCAGGTTCCACGAACCTGGCTGACCCCCTCAGCAGACAGCCGATAGGGGCAGCAACTGGGCTTGACGATACCGAACATGCGGCTGTTTTTGCTGCCTGTTTTGGCATACTAGCTGCGGCGAAAGTGAGCGAGATCGCGTTCAGTGGCTTTCTGAAACGAATTCGTATAGGATATCATATTGATTCCTCGTTCCAGAACCCACAAAACACCAGACATTTGACATGGGAACACGATCTTTGGTGGCGAACAAAAGAGATTGCGGTAACTCACGTAGGCAATTTGCGGAACGATATTTTGGAAGAGGTGCATGCCACTAAATATGGGGGACACTTGGGCATGAATAAGACCCGATGAGCCCTACGAGATGTGTATTGGTGGCCAGGAGTCGGTAGTGATGTCCAACAGTTTGTGGCACGTTGTGACGTGTGCGCACGTAACAAAGCGGAAACACAGAAGCCTGGTGGTTTGCTTCAACCACTTGAAATTCCGAGTGAACCTTGGGAAAGCGTTTCACTGGATTTCATCACCGACCTCCCAAGAACCTGTGATGGGTATACGGCGATACTCGTCTTTGTAGATCGCCTCACAAAAATGGTGCACTTCGTACCCACGACAACAGACATATCAGCAGAGGATACTGCTCGGTTGTTCGTGACACATGTGTTCCGTCTACACGGATTGCCACGTGTATTAGTGTCTGATCGCGGCCCGTGCTTCACGAGCCGATTCTGGCGTGAAGTAACCGAGACACTAGGAACGAAGCTTAAGATGTCGTCAGCGTTCCATCCCCAGACAGATGGGCAAACGGAACGGACTAACCGCACTCTCGAGCAGATGCTTCGTTCTTTCATAAGCCCAACACAGGACAACTGGGACGAGTTGTTACCCATGGTCGAGTTTGCGGTTAACAACTAAGTGCATGATAGCACACATGAAAAACCATTTATCCTGAACTGTGGTCGGCATCCCACAACACCTGCTACGCATGGGATCGGCGGTTTGAAATTACCTGCCGCAAAGGATTTTGTGGGCAAGCAACGAGAGGCCCTAAAGTCGGCACGTCGTTGGCTGCAATTAGCCCAACAGAGGCAAAAATCCTATGCCGATATGAAACGCCGGGAAGTCTTGTTCTCTGTTGGAGACAAAGTTTTGTTAAGCACGAAGAACATTCGGCTTAAGATCCCTGGTGCAAGAAAGTTGTTCCCTCGCTGGATTGGGCCCTTTGAGGCGATTCAACGAGTTGGTGCGGTAGCTTACAAACTCAAGCTACTTGATACCCTTCAGATTCACAATGTCTTCCATGTGTCTCTGTTAAGCAAGTACGTTGCAGAAGGCAAGTACTTACCACCACCAACAATCGTTCTAGGGGAGGAACTGTACTATGAAGTCGAACGAGTGCTTTTGCATCGTGATCGACAACGCGGCCGCAAGACTGTACGAGAGTTCCTCATTAAGTGGAAAGGCTATGGGCCTGAACACAACTCTTGGGAGCCGGAAGAACATTTGACTGATACTGCGGTTCAGTCTTACATGGAAGACCTGGCTCAACGGGCACTCCCACAACCAGCGGATGGTGTTGACCCTGGTCGTAATGTGGTTCGTCGTGCTCGTAGCACTCGTCCTAAGAAGCACCCCACGGCACCGAGGACGTTGCCAGCTGGAGGGGGGGGAGTGTAACATTTCGATACCCAACCAACCCAGGGTCTCGATACATTGAACCTGGGTTGGGAAGAGGACATGGAAATGAACTGGTTGAAAAGCGGGGAAACGGATTGGTTGGCAAGCCAACCAATCAGAACACTTTTATACAAAGTGAGTCGACAAGGCCCTCGCCGCTGGTTGGAAATATAGCCAATCACAAACATTCGAAGTCCAACTCAACTCTTGCGTTGGAATTGCAACCAGTTATAACATGACAGGTATGGATAACATATTGCATACACAGCATTTTATGCCATTTTGTCAGAACATTATAGCTTATACATCTGTGTAGGCTGTATTGGGGTAGCCCATTTGGGGTACAACCCAATTAGGGTTAGTACTTGTACCCAACTGTTTCATAGTTCAATCATTCTCGTTCTAATTTTCACATGGTATAGGGCAGGTTCCCCCGTGGGAACTGTTCCTAGGGCCCACCGACCTTTTTTTTTTTCCTGCCCGGAGCGCGCTTGGCCCCGGCCCAAGTCGCGCCCCGTGTGACTCCCCTTCGTGGCCTCTAGCGGCCTCCCTCACGGCCCCTAGTGGCCCCGTCGCGCCGTCCTTTCAGCCGCCCCGTCGCCGCCCTTTCCGCGGCCCCATCGCCGCCCTTTCAGCGGCCCCGTCGCCGCCCTTCCGCGGCCCCGACGCCGCCCTTCCGCGGCCCCGTAGCCGCCCCTCCGCGGCCCCGACGCCGCCCTTCCACGGCCCCGTCGCCGCCCTCCAACGGCCCCTGTCGTCGCCCGCTCTTGCAGCGG